AGCACTTCTGTTTTACATAGTCCTCATTGGAGAGATTTTGATACACAGGTCTGAGTTCATCGCTCCCCCTGAAACTGCTGTGTTAGCAGCACTGCCTGGACAGTGTGTTTGGGGGTTCAGGGCTGCCTAGACAACAAGACCCCCTTCTCAGCCTGGCTGATATGGTCCCAAGGAAAGCAGAGCAGTACAGGTAGTCCCTAAGGACGGCAGATTACCGAAAACTTTCTTTGAGATGACAGACAACCTGGACTTAGTTGATATTTGGAGAACAAAGAATCCCTTGGCCAGAGAGGGAACCTTCTTCTCTGAAGCCAAACTGACATGGACAAGAATTGACCAAATATGGGTAACTAGAGGAATGGCACCAAAGATAACAAAAGTGGAAATCTGCCCAAAAACCTGCTCCGACCATAATGCTGTGAAGATGGAGATGAAGCTAACACCAACTGGTTCCTTCAGATGGAGGATGAATGACACCTTATTCAGAGATGAAGAAGTGTATAAAAAGGCCCAAAAAACCTTGAGAGACTATTTTGAGATAAATATGAACACCAATGTGGAAAAAAGAGTAATCTGGGATGCTAGCAAAGCTGTTATGAGAGGGTTCTTGATACAACAGAACGCATTAAAGAAGAGAATTCAAAATGAGAAGAAGGATAAAATTTTGGAGAAAATAAAAGAAGGTGAAAAGAAATTGAGAGCAAAACCTAAGTCGCAAGAGATTTTGAGAGAAATAAAATTATATCAAGTACAATATATGAAAATGATTAATCAGGAGATAGAATGGAAAATTAAACAGATGAGACAAAAAACATTTGAGTCGGCTAATAAATGTGGGAAATTGTTGGCTTGGCAAATGAAAAAAAGACAAAAATTAAATACAGTTACAAATTTAGAAGTGGAAGGAAGGAATATACAGAACCCAGCCGAGATTAGAAATTGTTTCCAGAGGTATTTTAAACAACTATATACACAAGGGCCACAGAAAGAAATTGACGTAGACCGATTTTTGAAAACAAATGGATTACAAAAACTCTCTCAAGAAAATAAATTAATGTTGAACTATAAAATAACTGAACAGGAGATAGAAGGTGCCATTCAGAATATGCAATTATGTAAATCTCCAGGACCGGATGGACTGACTTTTAGATACTACAGATCTTTAAAAGAATGGTTAGTACAACCTTTAAAAGAAGTCTGTAATGAAATAATGGATGGGAAAAGGGCACCAGAGTCGTGGAAAGAAGCGTATATCACACTTGTACCGAAAACAGAGACTGAAAAGACGCAGCTTAAGAACTACCGCCCCATATCATTGCTCAATGTGGATTACAAAATTTTTGCAGACATCTTGGCTAAAAGACTAAAAAGAGTGTTAGTGGAAGAGATACATAAAGACCAAGCAGGCTTTCTCCGGGTAGACATCTATCTGATAATGTGAGAAACATAATCAGTATTTTAGAAAAATTACAAGTGAATATAAATACTAAGGCAGTTTTAATATTTGTGGACGTGGAGAAAGCTTTTGACAACATTTCTTGGAGTTTTATGAAGAAGAACTTACAGGGTATGGGGGTAGGCCAAGGCTTTGAAAACGGTATAAGTGCAATATATTCAGAACAAAAGGCTAAATTAATTGTAAATAATGTGGTGACGGAAGAATTTAAGATAGAAAAAGGGACACGACAAGGTTGCCCAATCTCCCCATTGCTTTTTATATCAGTCCTGGAGGTTTTGCTGAATATGATTAGAAGGGACCAGTTGGTTAAAGGTATACAAGTCGGAGCCAAACAGTACAAATTGAGAGCATTTGCAGATGACTTAGTATTGACGTTACAGGAGCCAGAATCTAGTACCAAAAGGGTTTTAGAACTGATTCAGGAATTTGGTCAGGTTGCAGGATTCAAACTGAATAAGTTAAAAACCAAGGTTTTAGAGAAGAACTTAACACCGATTGAGAGAGAGAGGTTTCAGAATGAGACAGGTTTAACAGTGGTTAAGAAAGTGAAATACCTGGGGATTAACTTGACAGCAAAAAATGGGAATTTATTTAAAGACAATTATGAAAAATGCTGGGCTGAAGTGAAAAAAGATTTAGAAATTTGGTCCAATTTGAAGCTTTCACTGCTGGGTCGTATTGCTGCGATAAAAATGAATGTATTGCCTAGAATGTTGTTTTTATCTCAAACATTGCAAATTGTGGACAAAATGGACTGTTTCAAGAAGTGGCAGAGAGATATTTCTAGATTTGTTTGGCAGGGCAAGAAGCCTAGAATAAAATTTAAAATACTAACAGATGCAAAGGAAAGAGGTGGATTTGCCCTGCCAGACTTTAAACTTTACTATGAATCAGCAGCTTTTTGCTGGTTGAAAGAATGGCTGCTTCTTGAAAACACAGACATTTTGGATTTAGAAGGGTTTAACAATGTATTTGGATGCTCAGAAAAAGCTCAATATGGAGGTCAAATGGCCGAAATACTGGGAAATTTTGGAACAAGATGGAGATAGACTGAAACTGCAGAGCTTTGAGAAATTAAAAACAAAGTGCGAGATTGGCTTCATTATTATCAGATAATGGAGGCATATAATTTGGATAAGAAAATTGGCTTCCAGGTGGAGAAATCAAAATTAGAAACAGAACGGTTAGAACCCAAAACTAAGATTTTGTCAAAGATGTATAACTTGCTGTTGAAATGGAATACTCAGGATGAAACGGTGAAATCAGCTATGATTAAATGGGCAGAAGATGTTGGACATAACATAATGATGGCTGACTGGGAACAGTTATGGACCACAGGTATGACGTTTATGGCATGCAATGCCCTAAGAGAGAATATTATGAAAATGATATACAGGTGGTACATGACCCCAGTCAAGCTTGCAAAAATCTATCATTTGCCCGATAAGAAATGTTGGAAATGTAAAGAAACTGAAGGTACATTCTTTCACCTTTGGTGGACGTGCCCAAGGATTAAGGCCTTCTGGGAGATGATCTATAATGAATTGAAAAAGGTATTTAAATATACCTTCTTGAAGAAACCAGAGGCCTTTCTCCTGGGCATAGGCGGCCAATTGGTGCCAAAGAGGGACAGAACTTTCTTTATGTATGCCACAACAGCAGCAAGAATACTTATTGCAAAGTATTGGAAGACACAAGACCTACCCACTCTGGAAGAATGGCAGATGAAGGTGATGGACTACATGGAATTGGCGGAAATGACTGGCAGAATCCGAGACCAGGGAGAAGAGTCGGTGGAAGAAGATTGGATGAAATTTAAAGACTATCTACAGAAATATTGCAAAATTAAGGAATGTTAGAATGATGTTAGAATGAAGTTAGGTGGTTTAAGCAGTAATGCTATAAAGGTGTATGTAAAAAAGGATTGATAACAGGTGGAAATTTAAAGTCATAGTATATTAAGCTAAAGGATCATGAGAAAATAAAGAGGGAAAGAAATTGCTGAATTAACTAATTGAACTGGAATACAAAAAAGGGAGGTATGAGGAGGTCAGGGAAACCAGGATATGAATGTAAGGTATGGAAAAATTGATCTATTTTTCTTTTTTTCTTCTTTAAGTGTTTTTTATTCTTGTATTCTGTACTTTGTATTTTGTATTTTTCTTGAATTTTTACTTCTGTTTTTTGTTTTTACTTTTCATGTTTTTGTGTAATTCTTTTTTTCTGAAATTTTAATAAATATCATTTAAAAAACAAACAAACAAGAGGAAGTGAGGGAGTGCACCAAAGTATTACGACCAGAGTTTTCCTTTTCAAGGAGCTCCCTTCCCAGGTTGACAAGCCCCATCTGCCCTCACTTTCCCCTGCAGAATGGGCAGAATCTGCCTTCTTGACTGTGGGATTCACTGTTGTTCTCATCCTCTACATCCACCAGGTCCTTTCTTCACCTGCAGCAGAATTCCCTAACACACCAAGGATTTGAGACCCATCAGGTATCCTCACCTGGTTTTGCCAGCCGGTTGAAGCCGTTCCTGGGATTGTGGCCCCTATTCCATCCTGACAGCTTCTGGAAGCCACAGGTGAGAGCTGACTGCAGGATGGGGACCAATGGTGGATAGATTACCCCAGAAGGTGCACGACAATGTCCCCCACCAAAGGTACTAACGCTCCCCTAACACCCCATGAAATCGTATGATTATGATCTTTAAGACAGGACAGGAACAAATTCATGTCCCCAGAAATAACACAACTTCAGTCCATTCGTGAATCAATACTACATTTTCAAGGTACTACACATTCCACTAAGTACAGTTTATCTATTTGCCTTGAATATCTTGCTTTTAACGGTCATTTTAGGATAGTCCTGCACCAGAAGATCAGACAGCACATCATTCTTTAAAAAATCATGCTGCTTTATTAACATTGATTGAGGAATTTGAAAGTTGCTCATGAATTACTATCATTTGATGACATTGCAACTTCATTTTCTCAAAATTGGGAACATGGGTAGGAGGTGAGGGAATGTAGGAGATGTTGAAATAGGAGAAGGTGCTAATGGAGCTTGATGTGTTCTCTTTCCCTTAGTTCTCTTCCTTGAAACCCAAACAGGATTCCCTTTCCTCCCACTCTGAAGAAGGAGATGGAGAAGACACTTCAAACCCCAGGGAATGGGGCACCTTTCGTATCATTAGGAATAGAAATTAAAATGTGTGAAATGCAGAATATGCTTCATTGAATGAGCACACATAGTTCACATCAACAAACTCCAGCAGGGGAGAAACCATTTAAAGGTATGGAGTGTGGGAAAAGTTTCACTGATAGTGGAAAACTTAGAACACATCAGCGGACTCACATGGGCAAAAAAAGAATTCCAATGCAGGGAGTGTGGGAAGAACTTCAGTCAACATGGACACTTAAGTTTACATCAACAGTTTCACACAGGGGAAAAACCTTTTAAATGTCTGGATTGTGGAAAGAGCTTCAGTCTGAATGGATACTTAAGTTTACACCAGCGGACTCACACAGGGGAGAAACCATTTAAATGTATGGAGTGTGGAAAAAGCTTCAGTCAGAGTGGACACCTCAACATACATCAACGGACTCACACAGGGGAAAACCATTTAAATGTATGGAGTGCGGAAAAAGCTTTAGTGATAATGGAAAGCTTAGAACACATCAACGGACCCACACAGGGGAGAAACCATTTAAATGTATGGTGTGCGGAAAGAGCTTCAGTGTCAGTGGAAACCTTAGAAAACATCAAAGGATTCACACGGGGGAGAAGCCATATAAATGTATGGAGTGTGGAAAGAGCTTCAGTCAGAATGGACAACTCAATATACATCAACGGACTCACACAGGGGAGAAACCATATAAATGCATGGAGTGCGGAAAGAGCTTCAGTTTCAGTGGAAACCTTAGAATACATCAACGGACTCATTCAGGGGAGAAACCATATGAATGTATGGAGTGCGGAAAGAGCTTTACTGATCATGGAAACCTTAGAAAACATCAACGGACTCATTCTGGGGAGAAACCATATAAATGTATGGAGTGCAGAAAGAGCTTCAGTCGGAATGGAGTACTTAAATTACACCAGCGGATTCACACAGGGAGAAACCATATAAATGCATGGAGTGTGGAAAGAGCTTCAGTCAGAGTGGACACCTCAGTATACATCAACGGACTCACACAGGGGTGAAACCATTTGAATGCCTGGATTGTGGAAAGTGCTTCAGTCAGAATGGAGACCTTAAATTACACCAGCGGATTCACACAGGGGAGAAACCATATAAATGTATGGAGTGTGGAAACGGTTTTAGTGATAATGGAAGCCTTAGAAAACATCAACGAATTCACACAGGGGAGAAACCCTATAAATGTATGGAGTGCGGAAAGAGCTTTCATGATAACGGAAACCTTAGAACACATCAACGGACTCACACAGGGGCGAAACCCTATAAATGTATGGAGTGTGGAAAGAGCTTCAGTCAGAATGGACACCTCAATATACATCAACGGACTCACACAGGGGAGAAACCATATAAATGCATGGAGTGCGGAAAGAGCTTTCATGATAACCGAAACCTTAGAACACATCAACGGACTCACACAGGGGCGAAACCATATAAATGTATGGAGTGTGGAAAGAGCTTCAGTCAGAATGGACACCTCAATATACATCAACGGACTCACACAGGGGAGAAACCATATAAATGCATGGAGTGCGGAAAGAGCTTTCATCATAACGGAAACCTTAGAACACATCAACGGACTCATACAGGGGAGAAACCATATAAATGCATGGAGTGCGGAATGAGCTTCAGTCAGAGTGGAAAACTTAGAAAACATCAGCAGACACACAGGGGAGAAACTGCTTAAATGTATGGACTGTGGAAGGAGCTCCAGTCAGAGTGGAACCCTTGATTTATGCGAACAAACTCACACAAAACACAAACTGTCTAAATATCAGGAAAATAGGTAGAGTTTCAATCCTAGCTGAAGTTCTAACTCAACAGACTCACGGACAGGAAGAACTTTAGGAGTTGAAACTTCAATATACATCAACGGACTCACACGGGGGAGAAACCATATGAATGTATGAAGTGCGGAAAGAGCTTTCGTGATAATGGAACCCTTAGAAGACATCAACAGACTCACACAGGGGAGAAACCATTTAATTGCATGGAGTGCGGAAGGAAATTCAGTCAGAGTGGACACCTCAGCGTGCATCAACTGACTCACACAGGGGAGAAACCATATGAATGATTTGTTCTCAGGAGCTAAGTTTTGTGCCTCACTGGGGTCCCAGTCATAACTGTAGCCTTTGAAAGCTCAGTAAACTATTACTGAAGAAGTCCTGCTGCCTTTGTGTATCTTTTTGACCTCAGTGTGGCACTTGCTCTACACATGGCCCCTACCCTGCTGCTACTTAGCTCATGCCCTGGAGTTGCTGTACTCAAGCACACAAGATGGTTTTTGCACCAAACTCTGTCACCCCCACCACTACATGATCTCCAAACACTTCTTCTTCAACAGAACCTCATCCCTGCCCCCGTGTGTTCTGAAGAAAACTTGAAATACTGAAATTCAATGGGAGATTTCCCCAAAGCCTAAGTTCAAGAGGGGAATATGGGGCTGCAGGTACCAGGGAAGTCTCCTGGTGGGCCCATCTTCACTCATGAACCCCATGGGTCAACCTGCTTATTCTGGGGTTTGAGAAGCAGTTTAAATCAAAAGATTGCAAAAAGTGCTTTATTTATAATGGAGTGTTTAAGGAACATCCAGGGACTCTCACAAGGAAGAACCCATTTATATGTATGGCGTGCAGGACGTGTTCCTTTCAGTGTTCACTCATTTCTTCAGAGAACTGAACTCAGCAGGAAATCAGTCTTAAATGCATGAGGCGTATGTGAAGTTCTGGTGTTTATATGTAAAACGGTATAGTAATGAAATAATGAAGGTAATGTCTCACAATCATGAGAATAATTTTAGATTTAAAGTACCTTTTGATAGTGAGGGGGAGAGGGTGAATCTGGATTGCGGGTGATGAGTGAGGATTAGGGCTGAGCTATATATTGATATCTTGTCCAATACCGGTTTTTAGACCACATCGTGATAATCTTTGAAAAACAATTGATATGGCAATACACCGTGAATCATAGTGTGTGTTTCTGGGATGTGCCTGGAAGCAGCGGCAGAAAGCTCTGCTTCGTGAACCCCTGCAGATGCTGAGTTGCTGACTTCCTCCAAAACGACAGGAAACGAAAGACACACATCCATTGCCCTGTGTCGTTCCAGCCTCTTTCCTCCCTTGCTCCCTTCTGCCGGTGTGTGTGCCTGACTTAGATATCCTGTGTGCTGTATTTTTTTACTGCTGAAACTGGATTTGCTCTCAGGAGCTAAGTTTTGTGCCTCACTGTGGACCCAGTGAGAACTGTATGCTTTGAAAGCTCAGTAAACTATTACTGAAGAATTCCTGCTGCTTCTGTGTGTGTTTTTGACATCAGTGTGGGACTTGCTCTACATGTGGCCCCTACCCCACCGATGCTTCGCTAAGGCCCTGGAGTTGCTGTACTCACGCATGCAAGATGGGTATTTGTGTGTCAGACTGGTTTTTACACCAAACTCTGTCACCCCCACCACTGCATGATCTCCAAACGCTACTTATTCAACATAACTTCATCCCTGCCCCCTGCACATTCTGAAGAAAACTTAAAATTTAATGGGAGATTCCCCCCCCGCCTAAGTGCAAGAGGGGGAGGATGGGTTTCAGGTACCAGGAAAGTCTCCTGGGGGTCCCATCTTCTCTCATGAACCACATAGGGGAACCCCAGAGCTACTGCTTATTCTGGGGTTTGGGGAGGATAATATTTTTCCATAGTCCCAGAGGTTATTAGTCAATCATGCTGCTAGGGAGTCTTCCTGCCAGAGGACCACAGTGCATATTGCTATCTTACTGATGTTACTGTTGTTGCTGCTGTTGCTGTCATGGAGGGGAAGGGTGCAGGGGGGCACCAGCTGGGGGACCCACAAAGGAAGAAGGCTCAGATCCTCCCCTCTCCCCTGGTCTCCTAGAGCACACAGAGAAACCCGGTTCAGACCCCATGATCCTGCACATGATATTAACAGGTGTTTGTGTTTTTTTGTCCCAACATGCATCCCTTTAATCTCGTTGACAGTGAACTGTATTTACTGCCCATTCACCCTTTTTGGAGAGAGCTTTTTGGAGCTCCTTGCATCTCTCTTTGTTTGAGCAACCCTGGACAATTTACATCGACTTTTAAAACTTTCCCCTTCACCCAGAATACTTTTCAAGTAGCATCTTCACTAGTATGTCACAAATAGGGAGGGGTATCAAAGGGTTACACAAGTGCAACAGTTGGTCACTCTATCAGATACATCTCTGGACACCTCTCCAGTAGCCATCACCCAAAGAACAATAAAACTATCGACATAATACAGTAGTACCTCGAGTTAAGAACTTAATTCGTTCCGGAGGTCTGTTCTTAACCTGAAACTGTTCTTAACCTGAGGTACCACTTTAGCTAATGGGGCCTCCCGCTACCGCACAATTTCTGTTCTCATCCTGAAGCAAAGTTCTTACCCCGAGGTACTATTTCTGGGTTAGCAGAGTCTGTAACCTGAAGCGTCTGTAACCCGAGGTACCACTGTAATATTATTATTAATAATAATAATAATAATAATAATGAATAAAATAAAATATATTTATATCCCACCCTCACCAGCCAAAGCCAGGCTCAGAGCTGCTAACAACAGTAAAAGTAACACAGTTTGCATAAAATCACAATTAATTGAAATACATTCTAAAATCAATTCATTCTAAAATCAATACAGAATCAAATTACATGCTTGCCCTCAGGGCTTCTCCTGAGATGGGCTTTCAGAACACCTGGGTTGGTCAACTGCCTCTGTGGAAGTCTGTTGTCGCCCCTTGGTCACTCCCTGGGTGGGGCGAAGTGTACGTGCTCTCATGCTCGGGGGATTATGGCAGGAGGCCCTGTTCTTGCTGCCTACGTGACTATTCCCTTCCAGGGTCATGGAGGAGGGGGAAGCCTAAATTTACTTTTTCTTAAGAGTTAAAACGGCGCAGGAATGGGAAGTATCGGTTGAAGTATGGATTTTATATGTATTTACAAATTTAGGTATCATTCCCTGAGCAGTCAAGCTGAAAGGATACATTCAGAAAATCTTTGTAACATTGTAGCAACTTTAGGAAATCAAAACCAAAATGGCTATATTTAATATGCTTTGCCCATAGTCTGAGCAGCAGGAGGGCGCTGAGACAATTGTGCACAGGCTGAGCTGAAAGGCTGGTTTGGAGGAGGTTTCAGCCGTCTACGGATTCCCCCATTGGCTAGCTGTCAAAACATAGTGCTCTTGATTGGTGAGCTTCGGTTATTCATAAATCCCATTCATAAAACACAAAGTCCGTAAATCCCATTCTTAAAATGAAGAGAAAGTGTTTTCCTGTATTTATAAGATGTGTGAGCCGTGCTTTTGGGACTGAGGGGAGAGGGGTTTGGGGTTCCTCGTCGCAGGGAATAATGTCAGATGGTAACCCCCTCCCCTGTAAGTGCCATAACACCAGGAAGTAATCCCCCACCCACCCTTGTCACTTGCAGCTGGGCTCACTTGCCAGAGCCACCTGGAGGGCCTGACTACAATTCCCATCATCCCTGAACAATGGTCTTGCTAGCTCGGGGTGATGGGAGCTGTAGTCCAAAAACAGCTGGAGACCCAAATTTGGGAAATCCTGTTCTCCCTGAAGGACAAAGGAGGGTTCACTTGCATCAGAACATCAGGTGAGCCCTGCAGGATCAGGCCCAAGGGGCCCCTGTCCTCCCAGGGGCCAAGCAGGGGCTTCTTCTGGGAAGCCCACCGGCAGCACTTGAGCCCCAGAGAAGGGGGTTTTCCCCGACTGGGGAGGCGCATTTCTTCTAGGGACACATTTCTGGGGTCCCCACGGTGCGCCCCAGCCTGGCTCCACTCTGCCAGGGCAGCTGCGTTTTGTTTCGCTGCAGGTGAGTCTGCCCCGTGCAACGTGGGGCTCTTAAGGGAACTTCGGGGGCGGAGGGGCCACAGCTTCCCTGCACTTGCGAAGCAGCCCAAGGGGCGGAGGGGAGGCAGGCAGCAGGAGGGCGATGGGGAGGAACCAGCGAGAAGGAGCTTCTGGAGCCTGGGCAGCCCCCTCCCCGCCTGCTCCCTGAAGGTTTCCCGAGCCCCCCCTTTTCATTTCAAGGATTGGGGGACCTCAGCATCCCGGGGTTGCTTTGCTCCGGGGGGGGGAGCTATTTTGTTTGCTGAGGGCAGGAGTCACAATCCTGTCACATTGTGTTGTGTCTGGCTTTTAGGTAAGGGGGTGAGGCTCAGGTGGGAAAGAGTTGAGAAGGAAAATATCCCGGGGTGCGGATTTCCCCCGCTGCCCAGCTCCTCAGGGTGCCACTCTCCGCGGTTCCCTCCGGTCAGCAAAAGGAGGAGTCTCCAGCCAAGTTAAAGAAGCAAACGGCGGTCAGTTGACCTGATCTTTATTTGTTGCAACAAGGTTCAAACACACCAAGAGTAGGAACCCTGAACATATGGTTGCATCGATTTTTAAGACCTCTCCCCATTTCCCACAATACATTTTTCAACAGCATCTTCGATGCATCACAGATTTATCACAAAGTAGGAGTCTTTGGCATTCAGAAACATAATAGTATTTACACATCTCCCTAGCTGCAAGGCTTTCCTGGGCTTCTCCTTTTAAAGTATCAGGATCCTCCTCCTCCTCCTCCAATCCGGCTTCTCTTCCGGGAATAAGGGGGGGGGTGAGCCTCCTCCCAAACTGCCTGCTTCTCCCGGAAGTGGCTGTTCTAAAC